AGTATTGTTGGAGGAGAAATATTAGTGCGTCTGGCCTTGAGGTCGGTAGCCATCAGCTGTGTGAGTAGCTATGTCTTTGTGCCTTTACTCACCATACAAGCTTAGATGTACAGTTATGGTGAACAAAACATGCAAATACTTATATATAATGTCTGTATATAAAAGCAAAAACAGTATGGTGGGTGGAGAATGGTGGCAAGTCAGGTGAGGTGAGGGAGGGAGGAAGGGAGTGGCCGCCAGTGGTGGGCTGCCACTGGCTGCCACTACCACTCAGCATACCAAGTTAGTGGTTCGTTATGGTGAACACGAATGTAGATACTTATATATAGCGTCTGTATATAGTGAATAAAAGCAAAAACAGTATTGTGGGAGGAGAATGTGGGTGAGTCAGGTGACTTGAGGGAGGGAGGAAGTAGCAGCCAGTGGCGGGCTGCCACTGGCACTACCACTCAGCATGCCAACTTAGTGGTTCGTTATGGTGAACACGAATGTAGATACTTATATATAACGTCTGTATATAGTGAATAAAAGCAAAAACAGTATGGTGGGAGGAGAATGTGGGTGAGTGAGGTGTTGAGGGAGGGAGTGAGTGGCTGGCTGGTACACAGCGGTCACTCCTTGTTACTTTTTGACTCATAATAGCAACTTAGTGGTTCGTTATGGTGAACAAAACATGCAGATACTTAGATATAATCTGTGTATATAGTGTAATAACCGACAAAGTATTTGTTCACTGTTTGATGAACATAATTGAATCAACAATATGCACACCATATTTTTGAGTACAGTGATGATTCACTCATTTTATTATATGAATATATCACACTACACACTATTAAATAATATTACAGCAAAAAAAAACTACGAAAAATCAATCAGAGATATTGAAATAATTAGGTAATTATCTCTTTGTGGCAACTCTGGCCTGACAGCTGGCGAGGAACAGACCGCCAGGGATGCACGCCGAGTCAGCGCCTGTTTTTTGCCAGACTTCCCCGCCCTATAGCGGGCAATATATGCCACTTACGATTTTTTTATTATTTTTCCCATGATCAGTGAACACAAATTAACAGGTTAGGAAGGAAAATTATTATTTTTTTTTTTTTTTTGGTATGCGCCTGTGGGTGTCAAATGGTATATAGCCATGTGCCATTTATGGGTTAATATCCACAAATGCAAAACCTTGCATGTGGGGCATAACAACCCATGCCATGACTAGCAAATTAATAGCATTACATTACAGCAGATTGGTGAAGGAAAAATATTGGAGTCAAAATCCACCACTCAGGGAGCCAGTCGGCCGAGCGGACAGCACGCTGGACTTGTGATCCTGTGGTCCCGGGTTCGATCCCAGGCGCTGGCAAGAAACAATGGGCAGAGTTTCTTTCACCCTATGCCCCTGTTACCTAGCAGTAAAATAGGTACCTGGGTGTTAGTCAGCTGTCACGGGCTGCTTCCTGGGGGTGGAGGCCTGGTCGAGGACCGGGCCGCGGGGACACAAAAGCCCCGAAATCATCTCAAGATAACCTCACTAAAAGTTGCACAACAGATGGGAGCAGCAGTCAGAAAAGCTAACCAAACCCTTAGGATAATCAAGAGTACTTTTGACTTTAAGGAAAAGAATGTAATGATTCAAGTGTATAAATCTCTGGTGCACCCCCATTTGGATTACTGTATCCAAGCATGGAGACCTCATTTTCAGAAGGACATATAGCTGCTCTGGAGAAAGTGCAATACCGGACGACAACAAACATCATTTCAGAGATAAGTCATCTCTCAAATCAGGAACAGTTGAGGGCCACAGAGCTAACATCACTGCAAACCAGGCATGACAGGGCAGATCTCATTGAAACTTTAAAAATATGTACTGAACAAGTTAGAGGATGTTGAGCTGGACAATTTTTTCAAAAGGTCAGATGTAACACAAACAAGGAGCAACAGTTTCAAGCTCAACAAGCCACTATGTAGGACTGAGAACAGGAGATGCTTTTTCATCCACAGGGTTATAAATCCATGGAACTGCCTACCTGCCATAACTACCAAAACTGTGTTCAGTTTTAAAATCTACCTGTAAAATATTAAGGCAAATTGGGGGACCTTCGAAAAGCTGCCAGCTTCCTGTCCTCGTCAAGGCCACTAGCGTTATTGGCCCTCAGGTAAATTCAGATATACAGTATAGGTAAACGGTGTTTTTACTGTTATTACACTTTATACACACATTATATATAACTACATTTTTTGTGTACCATAATGAACCACAAAGATCATGTTGTTGAGAGTTTTAATACACATAACACCGATCCACAGTTTGACTAGCACCCAACAGCCGAGTGTGGTGGGTGTTGCTCCAAAAACATTACACATAGAAATCACAATAGCGTGATGCATCAAATGAACAAATCCACAAGGTCTGTGACGAGGGTTCGAACCTACATCCGAGAGGATCCCAGACGCTGCCTTAATCGACTGAGCTACGACATGGTAAAAGAATTGATACAAATACATTTTTCATAATTATTTCAGTGCCTGTAAATGGTTTTATACCTAGTTTTTTGCAGTAATATTATTCAAGTGTAATTTGTATAATTTATATATAGTTAAATGTGTGGGAAAATCACAATGCTAAAATAATATGGTGTTATATACAGTGACATATATATTATATTCCAATATCAAATTGTTTTTGTGGTTATTACACTATATATACACACACATGTTATATATCACTATCAACATTTTTATGTACATAATGAACTAATAAGTAGTTCTGGTGGGTGTAACAATTAAATCAAAACACAACACGGAGCCATATGATACGAGCAGACAACACCAGCAATCATCTACTGCTAGAAAATGCCTCCAATATTCTATACATTTTTACATTCTTTGTAAAGCCACTATTACGCGTAGCGTTTCGGGCAAGGTCCTTAACCCTAATTTCCCCGGAATACGACCCCGCCGAATCGTTTAACAACCAGGTACCCATTCACTGCTGGGTGAACAGAGGCTACAGTTAAGGACTGGCGCCCGGTCAATCCTCCCCGGCCAGGATTCGAACCCAAGGCAAGGCGCTTGCGAAACGCCAGGCGAGTGTTTTGCTATGACTAGCCACAGAACTGCTGTTATCACATTCATGTCAAAAAATCCTGAATAGAAATCCATTTCCACAAGGTTATATTGTAAAGGAGCACGAGGTCATTTCACGATGCATAGATGCAGTGTTAGGAGTAAGGTATTTTGCAGGATTAAATGCTACATTGGTTAGGTGCATAATGTTAAGAGCAGATGCTTTTTTGTTTTATAAGCATTGTAAATAGTAAGTCATATAACCTATACCCGGTGACGTCAATGTTTATTGCTGTTGAAATAAACGCGTTGGTTTCTCTTCATGCCAAATGGCAACGAGGATTATTAACACCTAAGGCAGAGAGTCTTAAAGTAATAAATGAGGTGGAGGATCAGGAGAGAGACCTAAGTATGTTGTGACAACAGTTGAGTTGTGCAACCCATCGTGGCCATGGCTACCTCAGCACTAATCTCAATGGGGCTGTTTGATGCTAGCAAGATCTGGTCGGACCTGTGGCTGAGCTTGCTGGAAGCCAACTTCCAGTACCGGTGGGGAGCCGGTCGGCCGAGCGGACAGCACGCTGGACTTGTGATCCTGTGGGTTCTGGGTTCGATCCCAGGCGCCGGCGAGAAACAATGGGCAGTTTCTTTCACCCTATGCCCCTGTTACCTAGCAGTAAAATAGGTACTTGGGTGTTAGTCAGCTGTCACGGGCTGCTTCCTGGGGGTGGAGGCCTGGTCGAGGACCGGGCCGCGGGGACACTAAAGCCCCGAAATCATCTCAAGATAACCTCAAGATAACCGTGGGATTGAGGACACAAAACAAGAAAACACTACTTTTAGTTTCACTGGGTACAGAAGTATATAGTATCCTGGGTAACACGTATGTGCCAGAGCTACTCCACACAAACACCTATGAAAACCTGGGGCCAGATTCACGAAGTAGTTACGCAAGTACTTATGAATGACATAGATGATTTTGAGTAGTAGAACCCCAAGCACAAATACCATAATTAGGACAAGGCTAGGTGAGTAATAGAGCAATACCAGGGCAGGGCAAGGTACACATTAACTTGAGTTTAGAAAAAATGCCTATAGTTTTAGAAACTTTTTTTTGCTATATTTTGAATGTGTCCCTGGAAATTCAGCTTGTTGTTAATGAGAACACCAAGGAATTTACCATCTATTTTGCTATTAATTTGGATATTGTTAATTCTTAGATTAATTTAAACAGAGGATTTATTACCAAACAAAATATAGAAGGTTTTATCAATGTTAAGGGTGAATTTGTTAGCAGTTAGCCAAAGATGGACTTTGTTTAGTTCAGTATTCACTGTGTCATTCAGAGTAAGAGGGTCAGGACGGGAGAAAATGAAGGTTGTGTCATCAGCAAATAAAATTGGCTCGAGATGTCGAGAGGCAATGCAATGTCAGAGACACCACTAGAACATTATCTGGTTGATACCTGGTTGATGGGGTTCTGGGAGGTCTTCTACTCCCAAAGCCCGGCCCGAGGCCAGGCTTGAACTAACACAATGCAATGTCAAAGTGACCATTAGAAGTGTGACACACGTACCTGATTTACCAGAAGGCCACTAACCCAAGTAGCCTCGACGAGGACAGGAAGCCGTCGGCTTGTCGAGCCCCCTCCCCACTCCTGGTCCATTTTACTGACCCTCCCCAGGATGCAAATTCACAACAAACTCACTACTGGGTACCTATTTACTGCTATATGAACGGGAGGCATTAGGTAATAGGAAACGAACCCAACCATTTCTGTTCAGCCCCGGGATTCGAACCCGGAAATCTCAATTACGAGTCGAGAACGAAGCTAACTCTACTCCCTGGACCCCGACCCCTCATAATATTCTCAGCTCTGGGGCTACCACAAGCTTCTGATCATTCCATTTTAATATAGGTGCATGTGTACGTACGCGAGGCGGCGAGGGTAGGAGCAGACGCCGCCACAGAGGAGAGAGGTGAGACAGGAGAGAGGCCACACAGAAGAGAGGTGAGGGACGCCACCGCCAGCTGCCGTCTCCCTCTACCACCACAACAACAACAACAACTCTCCCTCTCAATGTATAAACTTTACATACGTATCTGCTTTTAATCATCAAAATGAGTTGTATGGGCAAAGAATATATGGTCGATGCTGTTAGTGACGTTACATGCATATTACGGTAATTGTATGATTATTTTTGTGTACAAAGCCATTGTTGTTAATCCCTTTATGTCTCTTTCCATTAGTTAATCTGTAACTGTTAATCATAGTAAAATTGTGGTGTTTTCAGCAACTCTTTATAACATAATCCAATTACCGAATTACATAAACAGAATCAAAATAGTAACAGAATGTTTATTTTCAATAAGTTAACAAACAATTATGAGGTATTTGCTAGTTGAAGCCGCAGCCAGCAGCGGAACGCAGCTGGGAGTTCCAGGTGCCATGATTGATTGATGGAATTTACCTGAATTTACCTGAGGGCTACTAATACTTTAGTGGCCTCGACGAGGACAGGAAGCCAGCGGCTTTTCAGATGTTCCCCATTTGTCCTGATGATTTCTTCAAGCTGAATATCAATAGAGTTTACAGCAATATCCTGATTTACCTGAGAACTACTAACCTTAGTGGCCTCGATGAGGACAGGAAGCCGATGGGTTATCGAGGTCCCCACATTTGCCTTGATGATCTTTTCTAGGTATAAATTAAAACTCAACACAGTTTTGGCAGTCCTTTGCCTGAGAAGCTAGTTACCGGTTCCAAAAAACGTGAGCAGGTTTCTAGAGCAGAGATATGTTTTTAACTCTTTCTGACTTTTTTTTTTTTTTTTAAAATAGGGGTAACATTTGTATATTTCCAATCGATTGGGTACTATTTCTTGGTCCAGATGTTTTGTGAAAAGTAGTTTCAGTGATTGGCATGTTTTTCTGCCAGTTCCTTTATGAATGCATGACTTTGGAATGGATTCTTGGAGCTTTTGAGTCTTTTAGTTTTCTGATTATGTCGCATGTTATGGGTATATCCCTTAATTCATTTTTTTTATATATCGTCTAACCTTACTAGTGTGAACACAAATTTAAAATATTAATTCAGAGTGTTTGCTGCTCTTTTATCGTCTATTATAACTTGATTCTTCTCAAATTTTAAGAATCCTATCGAGTTCTTTGTTTTGATTATACTTCTTATATAGGCATAGAACGATTTTCAATCTTTGTGTCTAGGGAACGTTTTCTTGTGTAGTTTATTTTGATTGATCTCATTTCCTGTGTGGCTGAGTTTAGTGCCCTGTTATATGTCTCATATTCAATTATGTGCATCGTGGATTTACACGTTCAAGTTCATGTTCAAGTAAGTTTATTGAGAAAAGGAAAAAAATACATCTCAAAGGGATAAAGTAGCTTAGGCTACTTCTACCCCCCATCCACTTCAAGTCCCTCAAGGGGCGCACAAATTCAGTGAGTACAAATAGACAAATAACATTACAAGAATCCCATTTAACATTGCAGTTTAATATAGTAAGTACAGAATATAAGTGTTACACTCCTGGGGCAAAATTCTTGTAGCTCCTAAGTATACTGTCTATCATACCATTATCACACATACAAACAATTTGATGTGGTACACTACTTTACCCCATTTTTTGTTACCCCATTTGAGTATCTCTCAGATGCTATCGTATTCATTAGTACATTAAACAGGGTGGGACTCAACACTCCTCCCTGAGGTGTGTCGAGTTCAAAAGATCTCACAACTGACATACAACCTTGATACCACACCTGAGCCTTCCTTTCGTGAAGATAATCCCCTATCCAGCGCAATAATCTCCCTTTAACACCAAGACCAGCTAGTTCATATAAAATAACCTCTTTGTTGGCTTTATCAAAAGCTCCTTGTAAATCAATAAAAATTCTATAGTAATCATTATTAGCTAGACATTTAATAATACAGTCAGAGGTACCTTTACCTCTGAGGAACCCGAACAAGTCCTTGGTCCAAGGGTGAGGATGCGAGTCTGGGGTTCCTCAGGATCCCGGTTCGATCCCCGTTCTGTTCCAAAGATTTCCCCACTTTTTATAGCAGTCTCCGTGGTGTAGTGGTAAGACACTCGCCTGGCGTTCCGCGAGCGCTATGTCATGGGTTCGTATCCTGGCCAGGGAGGATTTACTGGGCGCAAATCCTTAACTGTAGCCTCTGTTTAACGCAACAGTAAAATGTGTACTTGGATGAAAAAACGATTCTTCGCGGCGGGGATCGTATTCCAGGGACCTGCCCGAAACGCTACGCGTACTAGTGGCTGTACAAGAATGTAACAACTCTTGTATATATCTCAAAAAAAAAAAAAAAAAAAAATTACTAGACAGCTGATCACCTATTATATATAAAAGTCTATTTAAAATTATCCTCTCCATCATTTTACAAAAACACGAGGTTAAAGACACAGGTCTATACTCTCCATTGGCTTTAGGGATAGGGATGATCATAGCTTTTTTCCATTTACTGGGAATACTGCCCTCTTTATAACTAATATTAAAGAGGTCTAACAGTAGGCTTTTCGTCATAATGGCAAGTTCATTAAGTATTTCATAAGTTACTCCATCCTCCCCAGGGGCGGTAGATTTCCCAACTTTAATCGCCGTTATTAGTTCTTCTCTGGTAATACCTGTGCAAGTGACATCACCACTGTTACCTGCTGTACGTATAAAATCCTTTCTTAGATCTTTCCAAGAATCTAATGACTCTCTCGTTATAGCGGGCAATGAACTAAGTTTGGAACCGGTGAAGAGCCTCCTTGAAGAGTGGTTCATATTCAAAACGCTCCTTAACCAGACGAACCGTCCACTCCAGCCTTTGACGGAAGTTCAGTCGGCACGTTGTGGGAAATAACAGCCTCTTCATTCTATTAAATCGCTTCTCGTGCGTCCTGCTGAGTAGGGTTTCATTTTTTGCGGTCCGTCTAATTACCACAAGCTACCACAAACTTCAGAAAGCTTCCTGGCAATACGTTAGTAATGAATAAATATGATATATTTACTCATTATAATGTTGGTGCTGAATGTACAACACGAAAAAACATAATTTTAATCTGAAAAAGTATCTTTTTATAAAGAAATTAGACGGAAATAAAAAGCTGGTGACGCCAAATCAAGTCGACGATCCAAGCTTCGGTTAGGTTAGGTTAGGTTAGGTTTGGTTAAGTTAGGTTAGGTTAGGTTAGGTTAGGTTAGGTTAGGTTAGGATAGGTTAGGATAGGTTAGGTTAGGTTAGTTAGGTCAGCCTAACTTAATATATCATATTTATTCATTACTAACGTATTGCCAGGAAGCTTTCTGAAGTTTGTGTAGCTTGTGGTAATTAGACGAACCCATTTTTTGGTCTCTTTGTTATTTCATCTTCACTCTCACTGTCTCGCTCTCTGTGAATATTTCGCCGTTTATTTCTGCTCATTACTACTTCAAACGGCCTGGTATCATCTTCTCTGTCCTCCTCACTATCACTTAGGCACACCGCCTCACCCATTTCCTCGACACTCAAAGGCACTGTCAACCAGCAAGAACAAATTCACAATATCACAATTTCAATTCACAATTTACAGTCTCCGTGGTATAGTGGTAAGACACTCGCCTGACGTTCCGCGAGCGCTATGTCATGGGTTCGTATCCTGGCCAGGGAGGATTTACTGGGCACAAATCCTTAACTGTAGCCTCTGTTTAACGCAACAGTAAAATGTGTACTTGGATGAAAAAACGATTCTTCGCGGCGGGGATCGTATTCCAGGGACCTGCCCGAAACGCTACGCGTGCTAATGGCTGTACAAGAATGTAACAACTCTTGTATATATCTCAAAAAAAAAAATATCCAACTGTAGCAGCTACGTGCAAAAAGGAAGAGTGTGGAGCGACACGTCTGCCTCCCACCAGGCAGCGGACGCCACTGATTTACACGTTCTCCAGAGGTTCCGCTTAGTTATCAGTGCTCATTTGACTACTTGTGTCATCCATCTAGTTCCCTTTCTCTTCTTTCTCTTTTTCGGCACATATTTTTGAACGAGTTCAGTGATCTTGAAATTATGCCATGATGCTTCCATGTCGCTGAAACTACTTTTCATAAATCTCTGGGGCCGGATTCAGGAAGGTACTTACGAAGGTTTTTCCTCTTAGCTAAGAACGAATTCCTTCTTAGCGCCTTCGTGGCGGCTAGGTCCGTATTCAAAGAGCTACCCTAAGTGGAAAAACCTTCGTAAGTTCATTCCGGGATTTAAGTGTGGTTTCGACCACTCGTAGCTTTACGTAAACTGGATATAAGTCATTTTTTCTCTACTACATAACACTGGGATCGATTTATGATATTGGAACATGACCAAAATATTATAGCTGGTGAATCTAGTGGAGAGGAGTCCTTCGTGTTAGTTATATATGCATTCTCTGCTTGAAACTTGAAGTAAATATGTGTTTGATGATAGTAGAATTAGTTTTATAATAGCAAGATATTATACCCGTAGTTATTAAGTAAATAAACACTGGTGAACATGAAATATGAGAGAAAGTGATGAGCTCTGCCTGATGGGATCATTTACTATCACCAAATGCCCCTGTTCACCTAGTAGTAAGGGTGTACCTTAGCTATACATACCCATTTCTAATTTATTTAGTTTGGTTTTATTTTGAAATTAAATCTGGGTGAGACATAAAATAAAAATATGCTGCACAAATGATGTTAGGTAAGGAAAAGGATAAAAATGTCAAAAACTTTATTCAATGAATACTTAAAGCTATAATTATGACTATATACTGTAGATTATTAAAAAAGAGAGAGGGAAGTAGGGGTCCAAGACCTCTTCCTGTTATACAATTTGGGTGTGGAACAAGTAATTATCAAAAGAAGGCACCATGCCGGGAAGGCTATGTAGCAGTAAGGCAGTGAGGTGAGGCAGCTACTTATTTGAGAAATGCTTATTTTATTTACCTTATAAGCTGAGGCAACTTATTTTATTTGAGGAATACTCAGCTGATTCCTCTACATTTAGCATGGAACAAATTTGTGTCCAAGACCTCT